TTTTTTCTTGTCTTATCTTAAATTTGTATTATTTATTTATTTTTACTGTACGTCAGCAATATTGCTAATCCAATATTATTTGTTTCATTTTTATTTTCCCCCCTTTTAAGAGTAAGCATTTTTGAGACAAAGTCATAAAGTCCAGAATGAGACGTAACTGGAACTCCTGAATGAGAAAAAAAAAATCCTCCAGTAATATATGGTGGAGGCATGAAAATATCTGCTGGATTTTTCAGAGAGAATCTTGATAAAAGAAAGTATAAAACGTCTGGAGATAGACTACAGTGTAAAATCTATCACATTTTAATTTCCATGGTTTTATGAGAAGCCATAAACAGCCCTGGCTCCACCAATAAAGACCTAACATGGCCTGCTCAGGACCCATGAAAGGAAACGAACGTCTTTGTTCTTGAGGAGGTGAGATAATGCGGCTCAGTTAACATGTCTTTATCATAAACTGGGTTATTTGCACAGGTGTCTGATCTTTCGGGTGTTCACTTTTGACTATATAAATCATGATTAAGTTGTTAGCGTTCTTGTTTGTTAGCGGTCTGCCTTATCGGTTTGGACCAAAGTCCTGGATTCGTTAGGCATTTCAGACAATGCTATGTTTTTCACAGTCAGGCTCTGTTAGGCTCTCTGCTTTGAGGTCTGCTCAAGAAAAGCAAGACAATGACAAGACAATGATAAAGAAACAAATTAAGCAACACTTGAATGACTGCCCAAAAACACGAATACACTGTAATTTGGCAGGAACAGCTAAATATTTGGAAAATCATTATTTGGTGTTTACTGAAGTTGTGAAATAATCACATTTGGAAGTTCAGATGTGTTTTATGTTATTTTTCTCACTGGGAACAGCTATAAATCCAACACACGTTTTTGCACTTAAGGAGTAAGACACAAGGTTGGCAATTGTTTCCTTTCTATTTTAGTCAGTGTTACTCAGTGATGATGTAATGCTCCTCTGTGCTCCCTTCTGTTTCAAGGGAATACTGTGAGCGGGAGACAGAGACCCTGGAGTAACTTTCTACCTCATTCATTTGTTGACTCACAGGATTTGAGGCTCTAAATCTCAGTTAAAAAAACTCCTTCATGGTCTGGTGAGACTTACAGACCCTATCAGTAGGATCCATGGTGTCTTACTACTGAACCAGTAAATCTTCAAGACATGGGAGGAGAGGGACGGGACGGAACGGGACTGGACAGGAAGGGAAGGGAAGGGAAGATTCAAAACGATGGATGAGACATGAAAGGGCGAAACGAGAAGAGACAATAAGAAGCGAGAAGAGAAGAGACGAGAGGAGAAGAGAAGAATAGAGAAGAGAAGAGGCAAAAAGATGGGATGAGATGAAAAAGGGCAAAACGAGAAGAGACAATTAGAGATAAAAATAAATAACAAGAGATGAGCAAGACACGAAGAGAAGAGACTAGATCAGGCAAGGAGAAGAGATGGAATGATGCAAGAAGAAATAAAACAAATTGATAAGAGAAGTGTTGAACAGTGAGAAGAGAAATTTCATATTTTTGATATGTTTTAGCTTACCTCAAGGGCATCCAAGTTGTAGGTGTCTTTGTTTCCACAGTATTTTCGGCATTTTAGGTCAAACCGTTCTTGTCTGTCAGTCTTATAATGGAGGCCTATGGGGTCCACGTCAAAGAGCATGCACAGAGAAGTCCAAATTAAACATGATTTAATGACTCGTAAATGTAAGTAAACATTGTTTGTGTGAGAAAACGAACAGTATTCATATCGTTTTTACCTCTTGTAATCACAGCCACGTCCAAGTGATCTCTCGCGCGGTTGCGAAAAAAATAAAATCAACGTTGTCTGTTGATATATTGAAATCGTCTTCCATTGCAATTTCCTGTATATCTAAATATGTTTAGATCTTCACAGTGAAGGGTAACACTTTTGAAATCTCTGTGTAAACAATGAGTGACGTACACGCGCGAGAGATCACTTCCGGGGCTTTCCGGCGCTTGTGCAGACCGAAGCGCTCTCGCCCTCAGATCACTTGGACGTGACTGTGATTACAAGACGTTTCGTGTCTTAGGCCATCAATGTGTACTTACATTTACGAGTCATTAAATCATGTTCTTTGAGGTGGACCCCATATACCTCCATTATAAGACTGACAGACAAGAACGGTTTGACCGAAAATATCAAAATTGAAAATACTGTGGAAACAAAGACACCTACATAGGTAAAACATAGCTTACCTCAAGAGCATCCAAGACCTTTGTCTTAAAAGGCTCTTACAAAAATGAATGTTTGTAAGAGCCTTTCATCAGAGAGAAAAACCATTTGTGTCATGCAGTTCCCAAAAGGTAAACAGTTTGAGGGTCCTGAACTGAACGGCCCATCAATAAGAGGAATGTCACCTGCCCTCTGGTCTACTCCTATTAGACCACTGTCTCAGGGGGGAGGATCATTAGGACTGACCTCTTTCCTTTAAAAACCAAGGCAATGTCCTGTCCTCACAGAAACCCAGAACCTCCATACTCCGTCATAACACTGACACTGAGCACTAATGCAACACTTACCATAATTACCATCAGATCTGCACATCTATCCTGCTCATTTGACAATCTGTGTATTAGTGAGTAAGTTGTTAATACAGAGGGGCAGCTCTGTGTTTACTCAGCCTTTATTAGGCACATTTCAGAGAACGAAATGGCAGCAAACAAAACAGAGGCCTTATGGAGCCCGGCAGGGGTCCAACAGGAACAGGGACAAGGGGTTTGTGGACCCCGTTCTGTTTTTTCTGTCTTTCTTTCGTACTATTTATTTTCAATGACCCCGGGCGAATGCAAACAGTTTTTTGGCAGCGCAGCCATTTTAATGACATTTACAGGTGCTAGAGCACTGGGACAGCAAACAGCAGGCTTTGGGATTTTGACATGTTGACATGAACATTTAGTCCTAAATCCATCCTTACTGCTAAACCTAAACTATCCATTACTTATCCCTAACTCATAGGGAAATGATGAATAACAGAGAAGCAACCCTGTTGTAAGCCTAAACTTGACATAAACTGTAAACCTTTCCCTCAAATCTGATTGGTTGATTGGAATGTTGTTCCAGGAACATGTTGAACTTGGTGAAATCACGTTCACCTCATAAACATGAGCCGACTTCATCAAATTGAGGGAAAGATAATGTAAAGGACATGAGGTATTTTTCATAATGTAACACGATTTGATTGTATTAAATTCAGATAGATTATTTTTTGTAGATTAATTATATTCTTATTTAATCAAATTAAGAAAATATGGATTAAACGTTTATTCAGTAATTCAATTTGTACTTCATAAATTAATTGTTGCATAATACAGCAAACTGTCAGGCAAGCATGGCAATACTAAAACTGTAAACTGAATCTTGAAAAGTAGCATATCTTTTTTCAAGGACTCCCAGTCACAATGTGACGCACATAATGCTGTGTTTGTGACATTTCACACCCATCGAGACAGTCGTAGTGTCGCCCGGCCCTCTATTTTAAGTTCTTTGATAAGATTAGGCCTCTTAAACCTGACAGGTTGACTTGTTCTGTGTCTGAAACTGCACACGTCTGTCACTGCTGTCTGAAGATAATGTGTCTCTCCAGTCAATTCCTAATCAGTCTTGTACAATGAGCCAACTGATCCTTTACATTTAGGCAACATTAAATCAAAATTCTAAACATGGATGATCATCATATTTTCCTTAGCTAAAAAACATAGATATCTTACGTCTTTGAAAATCGTGCAGTCTGAACTCGGCATTAGAGGGTTAAAGGAGTAGTTCACTTTAAAAAAAACTTTTACTCACCCCCATGTCATCCAAGATGTCTACATCTTTCTTTCTTCAGTCGAAAAGAAATTAAGGTTTTTGATGAAAACATTCTAGGATTTTCTCCATATAATGAACTTCATTGGGAACCAAACGGTTCAAGGTCCAAATGAGAGATTCAGTGCAGCTTAAAAGGGCTTTAAACGACAC